ATAAATGTGCATTCCGAACATATTTGCTATCATAGCTAGACGTGCCTCCCCGACATATTCGTAAAGCAATTTCTCGATCATCTTCACCTTCTGTATCACCAACATCCCCACAATTATCTCCAATGCCACCACTTACAATACCACCATCTGCAATAATAAACCTTACGTCTGCTGGTGTATCATATGGTATGGCTTTGGATGCTGAAGTCGCAACATTATATTCAGTCACTACCGATGATCAGAAATTGGAGAGTTTAGATATAGAAGATCCAATTCCTGTGAGAGGTTCACCGGACTCTATTATTAAAGGTACTTTTTTATAATAATGCATGTCAATCTTATCATACAATAATTTAATACTCTTCAAATTATATCAATAGGCCAACATGGATTAGTAAAATGTTGTATGTTAAATAATCGACGGCATATTGTTACGCTTGACAATTCTGGTGAAGTTGCATTGTGGGATATTATCTTGGTATATATATTATATAATATTAAAATATTTTCAATATAAAAGCAATCTAAAAATAATTCGGCTTCTTATATTTCAAACCACTATTACACTAAGAAATTGTTGATATATAATAATATTATAGTGTATTCGAGTCGAAACGTTTGGCAAGCGTGACCTCGAAGAAGTTTTTAAGGAACTTAATACTATCGAATATATACCGACTTGGTGTGAAGTAGATACACGCATAGGGGTAAACAAAACTTTATTTCGACTGTTATATGCTAACGGATAAATTATTTGAGAAATTTGTTACCATTTCCATTTTTTCTTTATATTTAAAGGCATTGACGGTTCATCTTGATGAAAGGAATTGTTTCGACGCAGAAGCGTACGCAGACGAACTTAATTTGCCAGAAGGTGCAGATATTCGCGAAGATCAAAGAAGTAAGTTATTTGAAATGAATGAACAATTTTAATCAAAATACTTTGATGTTACTAATAGTTACATCAAAATTACTAGCCAATCTCGGCAAATGGGTATTACGAAATCTGTTTGCCAATTTTACAAGGAATGTGATACAAATGTATGAAGAGTTTCAGGCTCAAAATCTCTTGATGCAACAGCAAAGACATCAATCTAATGATTATAGGCGAGAATTACAGGATGATCGCTCACCTCCACCGCAAAATATTTCATTTCCACCAGCTACGATTCAGGTGCCCACCACACCACCTACTGTGGCAACAGCACAGAGTGTTAATTCTCCATCACAGAGTACATCTATGT